TTGGCCAAGTAGTTTGTGAGTTATGCCTGTTTAAAGTTGGGTTTCAGAAATGGCTGCTCTCTGTCAATTGTGGACCAGTTTCTATAAATGTATAATTTCGACCTACTTAACTTGTGAATCATGCTATGATGGTTACAGATTAAATGTAGATAATTTCATAAGATTTCCAAAATGTCTTCTTGCAAGTCATTTGGAATTGTGTAACTCCAGTTATAGCGAAATCTTGTAGCTGCTGTTTGCATTCAGAAATTGGTAGATTCTAATTATAGTGTTTGCTTGTATATTGTTAAGTGTGACTTATGCCTTGAAGGATGACTGAGTTAGAGCACCTGAGATCTTGGGAAACTTGTGTCATGCTTGGTGTTGTCGTCTTCTTTGCCATCTTAGCATGATAGATTGTGTGATGTTTAAGTTAAGCATCGCAAAGTACTTAAGTGTGTTAGTGTAAACTATGCTTGTCTTGCTTGCTATTTTGTGATGCGTCTCATGGTACTATTCTTCATATTTATGCACTTGTATATTGCATCTCATCTAGGTACGCTAGATGCACCACGTGAAGGATGCGATGTTGGAGCCAAACCCGAAGATTTGGTTTGATGGATCTATCCCGAAGATGGAAGGACTAAGCAAGTGCTAGGACCTGAGATGTCACCAGAACGGTGCAACCTAACTGAACTGACTTGTGTCGGATCCCAGGCAAGCCCCGGAGCATATTAAGCCTCCTAATTTCCGAAATGCAGTTAAAGTATTATTATTACATATATATATATTGTTGCATTAAGTTTAGGTGTTGGATGCAAACACTTGCTGCATTGGTTATCCAATCCTTGTCCAGATATTGATACCCTGAATCCTATGTAGCTCAGGCTCGTGTAGTGCTTAGCCCTGCTTAAAAGCGGTAGAAGTCAGGTGATTTCCTGTCACCTGCGAGATATAGGAATATATATATGGCACGGTTGGCTATATTTGCTATCGTGGAAAAGAACCAGTCTTAATTTGAAATGAAGACCGGACGGAGGCTTGCCGGTTTGCAGTGACTCCGTCTGTGTCGCTTAAGGACTGAATCTTGGAGCCTTTCCTGTTCATGTTGAACGCATGCCTCTCTCTTAGTTGGCCGGGTCTGGAGACCGACCACAAAGCCGAGTAGCTCACCTCAGGCCGGGAGTCGATAAGTATAAAGTGCGCCTCGGAAGGGAGTCGTAGGCGTGAGTCCAAGGGCAAGTGATTTAAAAGTCCTGATCGTCCTGGCAGAAGGGTAATCCCTGAGAGTGCTGGCGCTGATCGAACCCACGAATTTGGTTCCTGAGTTGTCCCAAAGGTGACCCACGGCTACCCTTGCAAAGTATGTCAGGGTGAGAGTTAGGAATACCCCCTCAGCTGAGTTGTAATTCGATTCGAGTGACCGTCTCTCCCGGTTAGTGAGAACTTGACAGGCTTATCTCCAAAGTAGATACACTAAATAACATAATGGTTCAGAAATGATGATATGACGATGACAGCCTTATTATACCTGCTATGGTTAATATTGATTGCTCCTAATAAGTGAGTGCTCTAGTACAGGTGCTAATCTAGTGGACAGGTAAATGATGATAAGTTTGATGCTAAGTTTAAATTGGCCACTATATTCATAAGCTCTTTTATGCAACTGTGTCAAGCTAGCCCACCTCATAAGCCTTGCATGACCCTTGGTGTCATTTGTTTTGGTTTCCGACGGGTAAGTCTGGCTGAGTACATTCGAGTACTCAGGGTTTATCCCACCATGTTGCAGGTGAAGTTCTCGGCCTGTTGAAGATGGTGGCTAACCGCCGATGGGCTCGGTGATTCTATAGTTACTTCTCATCTATATGCTTTTATCGGATGATGTCACTTATGCTAGCAATGTATTTGGAACATATATTAATGTAATCTTTTGAAAGCTATATTGTTTTCACTAATCGGTTTCGAAACCCAAACTTGTACTATTATTTGTGAATTCATTTGTAATATTATTTTCCGCTGCAACCCTGCGTATGTGATGTGTATTTGCATAATCACGCGATCTTGGTTGTGATGTTGATTTACCGAGGTCTTTTGGGACACTCGGCGGACTACCGGGTTTATATAAGTGAAAGTATGTGTGTGTGTCAACGTGTTAGCGGAGACAGCCGTACTTGATCTTGTATAAATTGGGCGGTTCTGTTACAATGAATACTGCTAGCGGTTCAACAGACATAATATAGGAAACATAAATTTATTTAGTCAAATTGTATAGAAAATAGGTTCCTCCCAATATAATAATGGAGATGCAGGGGCAGGCATGTAGGAGATTAAATTAATGGGAGTCCATGAGAACATAACACAAGTTAAAATGGAAGTGAAACATTTACGTGAGTACTTTTTCTACACAACCTACTGGCAACAGCAAACATGACAATGTTCAAAAAAAAATGAAAGAACCTGGCAGGAGCGCTGCCTCTCAATTAAGGAAAGAAAGAGAGTTTGTGTACAGAAAGTGCCATCGGCACAAGAACCACCACACACGTCCTGGGGGATAAGCTACGAGGTCTAAGTCAGATTGTTAAAGACCCTAGAGCGTAGGTCGATGTCCTCTTTGGTTTTGGACGCCACCTGCCGGGCATCTATCACCAAATTTTGAAAAATCCTTCTGTTTCTTTCCTTCCATATGTTCCACATTGTGTAGATGACCACACCATTGAAGTGTCTTCATCTCTGCCTTGGGATCTTGGCCCTCTTCCCACCATGCCCTTATGTTAGATGGCTGCACATGAGGCCAAATTAAGTCCACATCGAAGTGTTCCCACCCCAGCACAAGGCGCCAGACTTCTATGGCTATAGGGCACAGCAGGAACAAGTGAAGGGCTGTTTCTAGTGGTCCATTGCACAGCACACAATGGTCTTGGTGTGGCCAGTTTCTTAGCTGTAAGTTGTCTGCCGTTAGGATCTTGTTTTGTATGAGAATCCAAGCGAAGACTTTGCATTTGTTTTCGGTATGTGCCTTCCAAATAAGATCCGGGCGGAATCTGCGGTAGGTTCCATGGAATTGTATGCGGTATGCCGATCGGGTCGAGTAAATGCCATCTGGTGACCACTTCCAAACAATGGAGTCCTGTATTCCAGGTTGCAGTTGGATGTTCTGTACCCTGAGCCACAGTGAGACAAATTCCTCTAAGTGAGTGGATGTTGTGATCTTGCCTCTGAGCAAGCGAATCCAACTGTTATTATGGAGCTCTTACTGGACCGTTCTATTTTTTCCTCTTGACAAGTTCGAAGAGGTGTGGTGTGAGGTTTTTGGGAGCTTCACCGTCCAGCCAACTATGATGCCAAAATTGTGCTTACGTACCGTCCCCGACCGTGGCGATGGTTGAGGCATTGAAGAGGAGTCTGTTCGTTGGTTTACAAGGCAAGTCCATAGCAGTTCAAGGCTTGGTGGGATCTGTCCAGTCCTGCCACAGCCAACGCAACCACAGCGCTCTCCCAAATTTCTCCAAGTCTGGGACCCCAAGGCTACCAAGCTCTTTTGGTTTTGACACTATCGGCCAGTTGACGAGGCAGTGACCTCCATTTGCATTCTCTTCGCCCTTCCAAAGGAATGGCCTGCAGATTCGGTCAATCTGTTTTTTGGTCCAGGCCGCAAGTGGGAAGACAGTGAGGTGGTAAGTAGGCATAGACGATAGGACTGAGGTGACCATCGTTAAGCGTCTTGCTTTGTTTAGCAACTTGCCTTTCCAACCCGGTAACCTCGGGCCGATTCGCTCTATGAGGGGTTGCACGTGTACTTTACGCAGTGGCCCTGGTCCCCGAAAAGGCCAAGAGAACATGATCAAGGTCGATATCTTCGCATCTAATTAGGTGGACGGAGCTTTTATCCATGTTTATGCACAGTCCCGACACCTTCCCGAATGCCTCGAGAATGATCTTGGCGGTGTCGATGTCCTCTTTTTTTTGGGTTTACGAAGATTGCCGCATCATCAGCATATATGGACGTTCTCCTCTTTGCCGCAACAAGAGGTAGCTGCGTGAGGACGTTGTGGCTGGTGGCAAGGTCCAACAATCGTTGCAATGGGTCCATGGCTAAGATGAAGAGCATAGGTGATAGCGGATCACCCTGGCGCACTCCTCTGGCGTGGCGGAATTTTCCTCCAAGCACAACATTTAGCAGGGCTCTGGAGGCTGCTATGCGGAATAAAATGGAGACCCATTCACGTCAGCGAGGCCCAAACCCGAGAGTTTGCAGCACCTCAAGTAAGTAGCTCCAGTTGACCGTGTCGAAAGCTTTCTGGATGTCGAGCTTCATAAAAAGTGCCGGGGTTTTGGACCTGTGCAGGCGCTTCACAATGTTCTGGATGTAGAGGAAGTTATCATGTATGCTTCTTCTTTTTTATGAAGGCACTCTGACATTTTAGTCTGTAACCTGCCTTGCATTAGACTTCTTTGGGGGGAGGATGATGTTGGCTGAGTTAAGAAGGTCGAAGCCCTGTGAATTCATCTCGAAGAGAGCATTGATAGTCGCCGCTACATTGGACTTGACGATTTCCCAGCATGATTTGAAAAATGCCCCAGTGAAACCATCCGGGCCCGGAGCCTTGTCTCCTAGCATGGAGTGGATGGTTTCCTTGATCTCATCTTGGGTGAAGGGGGCTTCCAGCTCCGAGAGGTCGTGAGGGTTGTACCCAAGAGCGGACCACAAGAAGGTACCTGGTCTCGGGACCATGGTGCCTAGGTGGTTCTAGAAGTAGTCGCCGATTACCTCCTCTTTGTCTTCGTGCATGAGGGCGATTCCATTGTCACTTTGCAGGCACTGGATGTAATTTTTCCGGGCTCTTGAACTCGCACAAATGTGGAACAGTTTGGTGTTGGCGTCGCCGGATTTAATGTTGGTGCGGCGGGATTTTTGCCTGATTCTGGATTTCTCTATTGCTGCAAGGCCCATGCTACGAATTTTTAGCTGTTGCCTGAGCTGCAGTTCCTCCTGAGAGAGGTTTCTGAACCCCTGTGCAGCCTCAAGTTGTAGAAGGATTTCTTTTTACTATTGCTAGCTGCAGCCTTGTATCACCTATTTTCTCTTTTCGCCACCGTTTGATGCCCTTTGCGACCCGGGATAATTTAATGTGTAGCCGTTTGAGAGGTTGTGACGACGCCACGGGTTTGTTCCAGATGTCATTAACTAACTCCTGGAACCCCTCCATTTTTGTGTAGAAATTTTCAAAGCGAAAGCACGCATTATGATGATGCTGCATCTCCCCCTGTAAGAGAAGAGGTGTGTGGTCTGACATAAGAGATGGCAGCGAGTGTAAGAAGCAAGATGGGAATAGCAGCTCCCATTCAGTTGTGCAAAAGAGCCTAACTATCCTGGTGAGAGTTGGCGTGTCTTGCTCATTGCTCCAGGTAAAGCGTCGCCCGTTCAGACGAATCTCCTTTAGGAGCAAGGTGTCGATCGCTGCTTTGAAGGACCCCATCAAGCTCCTGTTGAGGTGTGTGTTGTTTTTATCCTCGGCTTGATAAATGAAGTTGAAGTCTCCAAGGATTAGCCATCTCCCGTGGTCCGGAGATGGAATGTTCTTTAGTTCCTGTAGAAATTGGAGCTTTGCATTATCCCCCTGCGGCCCATATACCACCGTAATTTGCCATTTTGTGTCATCAGCTCTCATGGAGACCGTTGCCGTGATAGCATGTGTGGTGAGGTGTATATTAGAAAGGGCAAAGAAGCTTTCAGCCACAGCAAGCAGTATCCCTCCTCTGGTTTGGACGGCCGGCAAGACAGCATAGTTATTCACAAAGTGCTGGCTCAAGGTGCGCCTTACCACATTGTCATCAATCACCTGAAGTTTTGTCTCTTGCAAACAGCTTATAGTAGAGCCGGTGTCGCGGACGAGCTCACTGACAGAGTCGCGCCTCGCACCATCATTCAGCCCCCGCACATTCCAGTTCAGAATTCTACAGTTTCTTTGAGCCATAAAAGTTAGAGATGAGCCCCAGGTCCGGTGCAGTCAGGCGGCCGCGGAGTCCTCCAGGCCGCATAGCGCCGTGAGGGCCTTAATCACCATGGCGGTCAGCGGTCCCCTAGAGAGGGAGAAGTAGCGCAGCAGGAAGTCATCTGAGGATTGTCTGTCGTCTTGCACGATCCCAAGGCGCTTCATGAGGGCGTAGCAGGCTTTGGTCCGTGTGTCGCCTTTGGGCCATGATAATGCCACGATGCGTGCGCTCTTGCGCCTTGGTGGTGGTGGTTGCTTCTTGCCTCGACGCGCTGTGCCTGGGGAGCCTGCAGCAGTGGCTGTTCCTGAACCTGCAGCAAAGATTCCATGAAGCTGGCGGCCTCTGCTTCCATGGCCGGTTGAGGGGGAGCAGGAGCCGCGACGTCCAGCCCCGTTGGTGCCTCCCTGGCTCTTCTGCGATAAACGCAACCAGGGCGGAAACGTAAGCAGTTGTTAGCTGCTGCCTGAGGGGTTGGTGATGCAGACGGCCCGGCGATGGCATCAGGTGCTTGCCTGCCCTGCGTTGCCGCCGCCGCGTCGAACTGATGGAGCAGCGCAGAGGTGGCCGGTGCCCTGACGATCTCCATGCCAGCTTGAAGTTGCAGCAAATTCCTGCTCCTCGGGTTGCAGCGCGGGTGTGGCTCCGGAGTGGGCTCTCTGGCCGGCGGGCGAGGCTCTGAACGGGGTGTGGAGACCTGTGAGGCTCTGAATAAATCGTAGTCGGTGGCGTTCGTTCCCTAGTCCGGGGCCCGGAGAGCAGAGGCGCGCATCGTTGTCTCGTCCTGCGCGGCCTCTATCGGAGCCGCGTCCTTCAGTGCCGTGTCTGCTGTGGTGTGGTCGAGCGAAGCATCTGGTGCGGTCGGTGCCGCATCCTTCGCGACCTCGAACGGAGCCGTGTCCGCCGAGTGCGGTGGCATCATGTCGAGGGCCTCATGTCGGCAGCGGCCCGTAGGCGTCCGGTCACCCCGGCAACCATGGCGCGACTCTGAGCGATCCCGTTCCCCTCCCTCCCCGATACCCGGGAGAGGCTGCGGAAGCGCCTGGAGCCCAAGCTGTTGTTATTGTCTGCCCTATATAATGTCCACCCTCACGCTCAGCCTATTCCACTACATAACTTGATCAAAATAATCTTTTGCATCAAGTGTGCTATGTAAATGCATGACCCTGCAAAATGAATCAAATTTCAATTATTTTCCTTTCCAAAACTATAAAATACCTTTTGACCAAGAAGTTCAATAGTTGTTTAATGCTTAAATCAGAGTCTACGAGATAAGGTTTAAAAGCAGTCTAGCGGGCTGCTTGACAAGCATTAAAATACAGCACACAACAGATTTAGTTTAATGAAGCACTGCATTGCAAGGTCTGAAGTCCTATAGTATCTTAGATGTAAATATAACTTTGACATAAACTTCATGGTAGAGGCAGGCCGACCGGTGACCATGTAGAGGCCGATTATGTGGATGCTTCGCTCTCAAGACGAATCCTCTTGGTACCAACCTCGTCGCTAGCCGGCACCCTATTCTCCTTTGCTTCCACAGAACATCTCTTGTATGGTTTGAAGCCTGTTCGGAGCGATTTCAGCTTCAGGTGCGACAATTCATTGGGAAAGGAAGCCCTTGGCTCATCCATTGTGTCGAGGTCATGGTCAATGCTTGTGGCGTTCTTGTTGAGGTCAACTGCCACAGTGGTGACTTCATCTTCCTCCTCCTTGGCAACCTCCTTCGAGTCTTCTGCTTGTCGGGGAGAAAAGCTTTGCGGAAGCTTTTCTCTACTGAACAGCGCATCGAAAGCCAGACGACCCTGTCAACAAAAAAGTGAATTAGAAAGGCAATGCTGCATGCTGAAAGATTTGGACATAGTGAATTAGCATATTGTTGGTAGATTACAACCTCTTCGGAAACTTCCTTCCATGAATCACTTGTGCCTCCACTGCTTCTAAATCTGCGGTGGTTAGTGTCACCAGCTGAAGAGTTGCTGCAGGAGGCTTGCTTCGCCTTCTCATTAGCATTGTCCTCCTTCTCAGGAACATTGTCCGCATCTACATCACTACTTGAAGGTGTGTTAGAACCGCATGAAGAGCGATCCTGCTTTTTCTTATTCCTGAATGCATCACTTGTATCAGCTCCTGTGGTAGGTGTTGCATCATCATTCTGGACAGGAGATATCTTTAACTCTGTGTGGAGAGACACCTCGCCTTTTCCACTCCCATCAGACACTGAAGAAGCAGCAACTCTTAAACCTTCAAACTGTCCCTGTTTTCGAGCTTCTTGGCATTCCTTCTGTGCATTTTCAACTGGGCAATCTCTGTCTTTCTCTGAAGGTCGTGGAACATCAACTGTGGGATAGGCAGCACTAGGAGCTGGTACAAATGGAAAAGCCATGGGTGGAGCGAAGAAAGGGAGAAGACCTTGTGTTGCCCACCATGCAGATGCTGCAGCAACTGTAGCTGCTACAAGAGAAGCCATGCTTGGAGGAGAGCCTATGTTCCTTCCTTGAACACCATCTGCAGGGTTTTCTTGATTCGGATCGATAGGTGTGTTACCTTCAGCTGCTGGCCAGTATGATGCTGCGAGCCTGGCAGCTGCATGGATGGCAGGGTTTGACAACAAAGTGGAAACAAGCATGCTGGAGAAGGTGGATGACATGTTGACGAATGACCTGATGGTATCTTGGCTGCAGTTGCACTGCATCATTGGAGCAAAGGCAGCATAATTATAAGGAAAAGGCTGTGGTGTGGCACTGCTATCAAATTTTGGATCTGCAGAAAGCATTGGATGGATGCATGGGTTCATGCTTCCATTGATTCCCACTTGATCACTTGTTTGATCAGAATGAGTTCCTTCAGTTGCAGTGACCGGAATGCTAGCTGTCCCATTTCTCTCTGCTACCGAGTGTGAAGCTCTTGCAGTTTGTTTGTCCACATATGTTGTCTCCACAGACTTTGGCTTTAGCTTCATTTGTTGCATTGAGAGATCCAAATATCCCTCAAGAGAATGTTCACATTTAGAGCTGATTTGGATACCATTAAACCTTTCCATTTCCTGATCACTGATCTCCTTTACATCCTCTTGCATGTTGGGGTTAAGAGAATTATTTTCCATGATGGTCATATCTCGGATTTCTGTTTTACTTCCCTCGATCCCCCTGGGTGCACCATGATTTGAAGAGCTTTTGTTAACTGAAGAAAATGATGCAGATGGGGCATCACGGAAGAGATTAAGAACTTCCGAGCAACTTCCTTTTTCAGACAACTCCTTCCTTTGAAATTTCTGGATGCAAGTGAGTTTACAGTTAAAGATAATTATACAGAGGATAACATGTGTTCCTAAGAAAGCAAAATACCAGGGAGAATTTACCTGAAGAGATCCATCGCCTGCCATTTGTACATTCCCATTGCCCAAGGGCATATTTGGTTTTGTTGACTTGTCATTTGGAAGTTCTTTGGTTGGTGTCTCGGAGCTAAGACCACTTTTTCGAGGATATGGACTGTTAGGCTTTCTTTTAGGCCGTGGTGGAGGTATGTCAATGTCATGGGCTTGCCCCGGAGAAGTACCATTGTTCATAGCTTCCTTTTCCAGCTGCAATTTCCTAATTTGTTAGGTACAGGCATTGAAAATAAAATTACATGCTTGAAGGAAATAATTAAGGACTTGAAACTGTTGCCAGTGACTGGATTTTGTTAGTCTCTAAATATATATAGCTTTACAAGGCAACAAAATAAGTCAGCTTATACAGATTCCAGCCAATCAGAAACCAGTAGGATAATACACGAATCTCAGGGGAGGAAAGGTTAATGGCAATGGCACAGTTCTTTTCAGTTTGCACCAATTATAACTGAACATAGTGCTTATAGAAAAACAATGTTGAAAGCATGCACCATAAGTGGAATAGTTTAATGCCATTTAGCAAAGACATGAATTCACAGCTAAACCAAGGGTTTTTTTTCTTCTTCAAGTTTGACATTTCCCCTGTCCCTTATCTGAAACTTTCATATCATAGGTTATACCAAATTGGAAATTATGCTCGAAAGTTCAAGTTATGGAATGAGGAAAATGCAAAACTGCAGATATCAATCATGTGGAGAAAGAATTATCAACAGAAGGCTATTAGAAAACTTTAAAACAACTTAAGATGAGAAAATGCACTGTATTTTTGCTGATCTACAGACTAGCAAATGGCAGCTGGATGGAAAGGGTTTCGCTGGCTACAAGCTTGTCTGAGGACAATGTGCAGAAATGACAGATACTTAGGTGGCACCTGGTTAATCCGACTCTTAACACATGCCTCCAGAACCGTTTATCTCATTGAATGTAGAAAGAACAGATAATCAAAACAGCAGAAGAAAGAAACTGTGCTTCATTTCTTCGTACCCAGAGAGGAGGGCTAGCTGCAGGCCTGCCAGCACGGAGTTTGTATGTTGGCGAGTGGCTCAATGACAAGGACAGAGGTAGGGTACAAAAATGTTTGAAACCTTCCCCTCCTACAGCACTACATTACAGCACTTGCAGGATGAGACTGGGTGGCGAAGAACATGTAAATCAATGGAATAAAATACAGACAATGTACTGAAGTTCTATCTTTTACTGTTCATCTTTACTAATTGCCATGAAAGGGCCAAGCAAATCATAGCCAGTTTTTAAGCATCATTTCCTTTCTTTATGGACAACCTTCCATGAAAATATAGCAATAATAATTACTCAAAACCTCCAACCCACATTATAAAGATAAAAGTACTTGGTGCAAACCTGACACTGCTAGCAAATTTGGACTAAATCAAAAGAGCCACTTGTGAAAGCAATTAGACAATAGATAGTATAAGCACATATGAAGTCACAGCCAAGCAAACCCCTTTACCCCACTAGTTTGCATCAACTACCCCCCCCCCCCCCCCCCCACAAAAAAATTGATTCTAAAGTTGCAAAGGTCCTCTGGACCCCACCCCAACTGTTTCTTCTTGTTATCTGCTTCAGAAGTTGATCGGCCAGACTGCATTGGTAGAACACTATAACACATATTCATTCTTGATAATGAATTGGCCAACTACAAAAGCAAAAAAAATAAGAAAGAATCTTCAGACTTTGCCCATAATCTTCTCAGAAATGTTTCAGATACAAGGTATCAAAGGTGGTTAAAGAATCTTCAGACTTTGCCCATAATCTTCTCAGAAATGTTTCAGATACAAGGTATCAAAGGTGGTTAGACAGGAAGACCTTGTTCAGTTGTATCTTGGGAAAACATGCATATTTCTACAACCTTATATTAGAAAATTCTAGCAGAAAACAGTTTGTAATGGCATTTCAATAACCCTGATAAGTAGATATCATTGATTCAGCTTATCTTATAAGTTTACATCATTCCTTCTACGAGACTAGAGAAAGAGGAGGAATAGTGCCGGTTGAATGGCATACATGATTATCTAGAGAAGGATAAGAATAGACTAGGGAGAAATAACTTTGTATGGAGATTTGATTTATTATTTGCTACCAAAATTCATAGAAACTAACCTGAAAACCAAGTAGCCAGCTCAACTGCGCAAAAGGCAATCTAACTAGACAGGCAGGACAGAAAACCTAGCAGGCAACACTGACCACGGGCATTTCTTACCTGGCTGGCCTGCTGCCTATGTGAGGTCTAGGTCAAGGTCGCTATTTTCATAGCAAGGGTAAGCATGTACTCTTAGAAACTTTGTGTAATTGTGGGGGTTTGTAAGGGTTTCTTTTGCCTTTTTTCTTCTTAATATAATGATACACAGCTCTCCTGCGTATTCGAGAAAAGAAACACTCCTGTTTCTCTTAAATGATCCTGACAGACAACAGAAAAAATCAAAATCAAATATAACTGAAAAGGCACGGAGATTCCTTAATTGAAAAGTTTTTCAGGTAGTTTTCCTTCACCGGTAATTAAGTAAATAATGTTCATGGTTATATGTGAAATCTTTGAAGTAATTTATATGTCACAAATATTATCTTCTGGCCTCAGATTGCCATGGCGATGTTCAGTTCGAACTTGGAATGTCAACCATGATGCCCATCATCATTGACCAAGCAGGAATGCACCATAGGGCCTTTGAGATTACAGCTAGAGGAACCTTGTGGCATTTGGGTGGATGGAATTGATATTACCAGAAATATAACTGAGGAAAATCAAAAGCAAGGAACTACCAGACCTCTGTGTGCCTGTTGCTTATTGCAAGTTTGCAAAAACAAAAGTGAAATTTTGTTTTCAATTGGCTACCACTAAACCAGATCCAAAAAGAAGCCCACTCATGGTGGGTTTCAGCCCACAAAAGTCAACCAGTAGCTTCAGAGCTGTGATATGACTACAGCATTGGTTTAGAACAAATATAATGGTGCATCTGAAATGTGATGGTTTGAGGAAGGCCTAGATATGAACTAGTTAATGCCCCCAAACCATAATGATGTTCCAAAGTGTTGCTTTCACCTTTTAGTCTCTCAAATGTTGCGGCCTAAGGCCTTACAAATTCTAGATAGACCAAATAGTTACTCTCCAATAAAAAATAATACATTAACATAGTGAATTAGTGACTACTAGAATGCCTGCTCCAAATTCCAACATTTGCTTCACCTGAGTGGAGGTTGAAGGATGGATTTTTTTCCCACTCATCCATCTCTTCCCTGCTCCAACTACAAGTCAATTTGTACAAAAGGTAAAATGTTAAGCACCATCTGTATTAATGAAGCTAAATTGTGTCACTAGTTACCCTTTCTCGAACACGCAGGAGAGTTGCGTATTGTTAAGCGTATATCAAGGCCCATCCTATAGACCCATATTACTAACCTTGCCATCCTTTCCCTTCCATGGAATTGGCAAAGATGCCATGGAGAGGGGCAATGCAACCTCATTGAGCCAACATTTTTAATGGTTGTTCCATGAACACTCTTAAGATTGGCTGGTTCAGGATTTGGCACCCCATCCCCATCCCTCCTATGGTAACCTCAACCTAGGAATGTTTCACTTCCTTGACAGAGCCAACTGAGATCCCACTGACATGTGGGATCATCTATGCAATGAAAGTGAGCCAGGGTGGCAAATCATGAACTGCCAACGATATAAGTAGTGAGCTCTTAAATTAACCCCATCACAGCCTAGCCCCTAAAAGGCCCAGGACAGACAGGTCGCCCAGCAGAAAAAAAAAACAGAGGAAGAGGCAGTGTAGGGCATGAAAAGAAACTGGAATAGTTCTTCTTTGTTGCTCATATGATGTTATGTGTTTATTATTAAGTTGGTTTTTGTCTTCATCAAATCTAGCTTTCAAGCAATTCATTTGCAACTTAATATTTTTCATATACAATGTATAGTCTCAATTTCACTCTAACAAGTTTCCATCCCATTATTGGTACGTCAGTCATTTTACACAATATAGATGATTATAAGCTCAATGACAGCATGTATACATAAATAAATGAACCAGGTATAAGCAAATTCGTAGCATGTTTTTTCAATTTCAATATGGATTTATTTAATCAGTTAATAAACAGAGCACTGAGGTCAAAACAAAGAAATCATGAATGGCTCATGCTCTTCAAACCCATCACTGTGGCACACATATGTAAATAGAAAAAATAATGCAGTAATGTAAAGACACTAAAAATCAGGAAATTAGCACAAAAGCCATTCACATTATCAGCAAATATAAAGTGAATGCAACTAGAATGCCAGGCAACAGCACTGAACCAAACAAGGGCACTAGCCAATCAGATAGAGAAAGAACCTTGGTGAAGAACTTTTGAGCATGACTTCTGATCTGCACGGCCGTCTTTGTCCCAACATGCTCTATGGAGCAATTCGGAAGCCAAACAAACAAAAAAAAAAAGTGCAATCAGTATCAATAAGCAAACTAAATCCACATGAATAAACCTCAGTGGTTACAGATTGATAAAGTCAGGAAACAATAACATAAAAACTCGACCTGCGGGGGGTTATGACGGCCCCCGGGTTTTCCCTTTAAGAAGAAGATCTTCTCACACAGATCGAGAAAACCCCCGAACCCCCGCCCCCATCCTGACGCAGCGGTATCCGTTGCCTTGTGAGAACCGGGCCGGGCCATAACTGCGCTTTGGCACATGGGGACGGGCGAGGGGATTTTTTTAACCTCAGCCTGAAATTCGCTCCCACGGGGAGTCGAACTCAGGACCTGAGGAGTGCCGCTGGGTCACCTGACCGTTTGAGCTAGGCACCCTTTGGCAGGAAACAATAGCATAAAACTACTTGGATACAATCGCTATGGAGATTTTACCTTCTATACGCTGCCATGCTCTGCCATAAAGTTTCAAGGCTTCAAGGAACCGTTTGTGCTCAGCCTCTGTCCACCGCTCCCGCTGCTTTGTTATTGTGTATGGCTTTCTTACCTACAAAGAACAGTGATAAAATGTTCATTCTTTACCACAAATCAACAAGCACAGTATAGAACAACTCACCTTGACCACCGTTTCCTCACCAGAGGAATTCACCTCCATCTCCAAATCCAGCAAAAATAAACAAAAACAGAAGGGAAATGTGCAACAGCTGTTCGCTTTGTCACTTGGAGTTGAGGTCATCAATAAACAAGAGAACTCCTTCCATATCTCCAACCAAACGCTGGATCTGACGCAAGTAGTACCTCATATCTCCTCCTAGACCTCTATATCACACCAGCACTCCCAATATTTCAATATTTCAAATTTGTGCGCCCAGACCCAAAAGAGCAGCCAAATAAGTGTTAAATTTACACGAGAAAACCTATAGAATTCACGACTCTAGTCATGAATTGAACTGGGATCAGAATCTTCAAAAGGATCAATTCCACTCACCTACTTGAATTGATCCAATTGCTGTTACTCTGCATAAAAACATTAAGATAGAGCAACATCATTTAAATATTCATGTGCTTCCTTTGAAATGTAAATTACTGCATGATTACATTTTTTTAGGGCTCCTAACGCCCGATTTTTCAGCCACCAAATTTAAGATCTATAGCTCATACTTTGTGCTAACAAAAAAAAAGTGAATGCAACTCTAGTATAAAGTAACTTAATTCCAATATAAACTCATTGTAACTGAAAAAAAAAAAAAAGTTTTAGGAAGCCTTAAAAAACACCATCCCTAAAGCACAAATCTGAGGCACACAAAAGTCAATTGTTGGAGGCCTCTAAATACTATACGTCAAATTCAGAGTTCCTCTTTTATATATGTATTCAGGGATATTCACTTACAAGAAGAAACTACCCTGTACCTAAAATCAGATACTGTTAATTAAGCAAACTAAATATTACCATAATTACAAGAGTTACTTCAAATGAAAATCCCAGGATCACCACCATTCCACTTACCTAGAGAAAAACTCAACGTAGTTGATCCGTTGCACGCAACCACCAAGTCAGCAGAGTTTAAACCTAGCTCCGTTCCTTATCTTCAACTCTAGAATCATATTAAAACTTGCAAGTTTTCAAATTATGCAACCATTCCAACAAAAGAAATGGATTAGATTCATAAAACCAATCAAAAGCATGCACAAGATGTAAAGTACTATCAGAAGAAGAGATCAAGCTCACCTTCTAAGGCCAAACACTTCTGTAAACTGCAGAACAAAAAGAAAGGGCATAATAAGTGCTTACTCCCAATCAAATCTCAAACCTTGATCACAGTTCATGATCAAAAAGCACTATATTTAATAATAGTTGTATACTTATTGACATTAAAAAATAATAGTTGCACTCTCAAAACATAAAAAAATGAAAAACAATACAACTATCTGAGTTTAACTGAGCTTAGAAGTTCCAGTACTTCGCTTAGATGAGTACTGATTGAAGAGTGGACTGTTCAGCACGGTAACAGACAGTACCAGTACAAAATCTCACAGCTCCAAAATAATCAAATAGCACCCAAGATATCCCTACATTTGAAAGTTATTGCAGTAAGAATAACCAACTAGTTTATCAAACAAAGAAACAGTGTGCTGGAGATGCCAAATGTAGATTGTGCTGCTGTGTAACCAGTTGAACAATGAAACAATATAAATAGCAACTCCAGAATATAAAAAGGAAAAAACATACAGTCAAGTTCAAGTTCTATTTGTGTTCAAAAAATACAGTCAAGTTCTATGTACTTTTATAAAGAAAAAATACAACAGAAAATCTTGAATTATCATATGCTATCAATCCTTTCTATTGTTTTTTTTACTAAGTAAAATATATCAGAGTACTTGAATTTATTTATTGTTTAAGGATATCTCTAGTAGGTTCTCAAATATCTAAAATGTGTTACGTATGGCCAAAGGGCTAGATGTACAAGTGTTTCATATGCATAAAACCCCTCCAACTAGAGAGGAAATACATGTGCGCACCCACAACCATAAATACATCTAATCCTCCTTAGCAGTCTGCTTCTTGGTTTTCTTGGCAATCAAGGAGGAGCCAAGGAAAACACAATAAGCGGAGGGGCAGCGACTATCATAATAGTCTAGAGCGATGAAAGTAAAGGTGTAGAGAGATAGTTCAACGAAAGTATCGCAAAACATGAAGGAGGTGAGCAGAGTGGAGCAAGGTAGGAGCAGAGACAAACTGAGACACAGCACAGGACGAGTGATCCCAAGATAGACAAGGCTCCCAAAGAGCTTGGGTCATAAATGAACACCAAACTCCATAGGGGTGTTAACAGTGCGATGATCGGTAAGAGAAACACAAGAAAGGATGTCCTAAATGTACTTCTCCTGGTAGAGCTAGATACCATCAGACATGGAGGAGACCTCAATACCAAGGAAGTAATGGAGGACCCAAACCATACATCACGAACTTATCGCTGAGGCAATGCTTTACAAAAGCAATGTATTAAGAATCATCACACTTGAACAATGTAGAGAAGAAGTGTGCGGCCACGAGGGGAAATGTGAACAGAGAACACAGTGACAACAAAGGAAAAGAGCTCAAACCAGGCCCAAGGAGCTTGCTTAAGGCCATTGAGTGAACGACACAGCTTGCAAACCATGCCATCAGGAACAGAATATCCTGGAGGTGGTTGCATTTAAACCTCCTCCCACAAGTCGCCATTAAGAAAAGCGTTTTTGACATCCACACTGACGAAGCAACCGTAAGTAGAGTCCAAGCAGTAGTCATGTGAGCAACAGGGGCAAAGGTCCCCTCATAGTGACGACCTTGCTTCTGCTAGAAACCATGCACCACAAGACCAGTGCCGGCCCTAGGGGTAGGCCACCAGGTGCGACGGCCGAGGGCCCAAGTGGAGGAGGGGCCCAAGCCTAGGTATACAAATCCTCACGTCCTATAGTCCATTAGGCATTAACAAACTAGTGAGAAAAGAGACATAGAACTGATCAGGCGGCCCAAAAAGACAACATCGGCATTTCTTTCCTAGTTTCCTTTCCCCACGGCCCTCGGGTAGAGAGGAGGAGAGGAGTCACGCTGCACACAGCACACTCTAATCGTGAGTTCGCGACGTGTGCCTTACACACGCAGAGCTAGCGAGCCGCGCTGCCGCGAAGAGCTAGACTACCAGAGACACGGACACGACGCACGAGGACGGCGACCAGGTAGGGCTCCACGACGATGACATCTTGATTCTTGGCTTATTATGAATTGCGATCACTGATCAGTTGTTTAGGCCCAACGTATTTTTTTCCTTTTTATTTTTAATCCAAATTAATTATTTGTATAATATTTCAGACTCCTAGTACTTTGTACCCATATAGTCATATTTTTCTTCTAATTTATGTGTTAGAATTTTAGAATGTTACCTAAGAAACATTTGCCATGGGTGAGAAAAGAAAATGAATATATTGCTTTTTTAATCTACATCGTTCCTCGATAATTATCATACATCTACAAATATATTGCTTAATCTACATTATTCCTCGATAATTATCAGACATGTTAAATTAAAAACATGTTATTGAATTTGTTTTCGTTTTGCAAGTAAAATTAGCGCCTATATATTATAAGATTTTATACATGGTCAAGAGAGGCCGTTACAATGAGATCGCCATAGGGCCCTCAGAATCGTAGGACCGGCACTGCACAAGACGAGTGTTGTAGCAGTCAAGAGAGCCATCCTAATCGAGTATTGACCTTGTACACTGACCTTCAGGTGATGGGAGTAACATGGGATGGCAAAAGACAAGATCCCGAGTGCCAATGTGCTCCAAGACAACAATCTCCTCAGCCATAGCATTCTGCCAGTATCCTCTCGGTAGGTCATGGGCTCAACCAAAACAACAGCGATGAAGCCAAGGAGATCGGGAGGACAAATGGTGTTGCGATCATGTAGAGCATATCGAGAAGGTGACTCTAGAGTAGATCCAGTAAGGGATGGAAAGGAGTCAAGTGGTGGAGCAGGTCATGGACGACGAGTGTAGTGGTGAGTGATCTCATGAGAAGGATACACCAGAGGTGGAGAAGGAGGTACCTGAGATAGGAGGAGAGGATGAAATGGATAGTGGTGGAGAGGATTAAAAAAGAAGGTTGTGGTGAAACAGAAGGCGGATGTGGAGGATGAGATGAAGACGATAGCGGAAGATATCAATCAGGTAGACTGAGGAACAAGAGGGACTCGGTGGTAATAGAGACTGGTAGAGGAACTAGGATAGTAAGGTCGAGACTCATCAAAGGTAACATCCCGAGAAATCCTCATCCAACGAGCAACAGGGTCATAGGCTCATAACAGTGATAACCGTTATGCTCCGTACTAGTATTATACTATGGGAAGAAACACTCAACTGACTAGACATAGTTTGTGAACTCACAAGTTGAAAGAAGGGCGTAATAGACACAACCAAAGCATTTCACTCTTTTACTATTACTAATTCCCTTTTTATAATTGTTGGTGGCTTTGTTGGGTTTCATCCCTAACCTAGATCAACTTGCTTTGGACTAAAAGGTCTTTTTGTTATATTTGCTTTCTCATAAACACCGAAGATTCACATACCATTATTTTCTTCTAAATAAGGAAAATAGCAATGACAAAAATGAACACATAGAGGGCATCTTTAAAATGCCTGTGTTAGCCATCCTGAGATTGATTGGTAGGAAATTGGATGGTTCTCTCTCAATGGAAGAAGGGAGAAAGAACGACAAGATCACCCTTCATGGTTCTATAATACTAGAAAAATTTGATTGCTTTGAGATGTGTGAATTTTTATAAAAGAGCATCAGGGCACTTCTCTTGAAAGATGTATTATGGATGTAGGTTTCTCAATGGATATAGTAACACCAAAAGGCATTGGGTTGATATAGACAAACTTGCGATAAAACACTAAGGTTTTCTTGAAAAAGAAAAGCCAGCCATGGAGTGAAGGTACCCTATCTGTCTTAAGATAGGGAAGTATCAAACCCCTTAGAGCATCTCCACCAAATCTCCTTTCCCTTAAAATCTAGTATACGAGATTGAGAAATGAATTAGTGTATAGGGGATATGTGCTCCAGCAAATTGAGAAAACTTCATCCCCTTTATATGTGGGACCCACATGTCA